CTCCTCCACCGTAACTTCCGCTATTGGCATTGGCAAGTGCTGCTGCGTTGGCATAATCTCCACCCCCATACCCTCCACTATTGGCGTTAGCTACAGCTGCTGCATTAGCATAATCTGTTCCTCCCAAATAACCTCCGCTATTGGCATTGGCAAGTGCAGCTGCGTTGGCGTAACCGCCTCCAACCCCGTGACTTCCACTATTAGCGTTAGCTAATGCTGCGGCATTTGCCCAGTCGCCTCCTCCGTAACCTCCGCTATTAGCGTTAGCTAATGCTGCAGCATTTGCCCAGTCGCCTCCTCCGTAACTTCCGCTGTTGGCGTTAGCTAATGCTGCAGAATTGGCCCAGTCACCACCTCCATAACTTCCGCTATTAGCGTTAGCATTTGCTATTGCGTTGGCATAATCTCCTCCTCCCCCGTAACTACCACTATTAGCGTTGGCATTTGCTAATGCGTTAGCATACTCTAATCCACCTCCATAACTTCCAGTATTAGCGTTAGCATTTGCTATTGCGTTGGCATAATCTCCTCCTCCAAAACCTCCACTAATAGTGTTAGCATTTGCTGTTGCGCTTGCGTAATCTACTCCCCCATGACCTCCGCTATGAACGTTAGCATTTGCCACTGCGTTGGCATGGTCTCCAACTTGGTCCAGTCCAAAATTTACTGTAATGCAACGATTTGTACTTATTAACGTATTTTTGTGGTTTTATTATAATATATGCATTACTGACACCGTACATATAGTACTTAGAAAAATATACATACCACATATATTCTGTGTTTCCACGTATACGTAGTTATAACGGACTTTGCAAACGTGTATATGGCATGAATCTCCAGGCAGGGTGAACTGAACGTTGGGTTGTTGTGATTTACATATGGGTGCTGCAATATAAGTAATTATAGCATTTCGTGCAGATATATGAGACGAACATTAAGGCACTCCCTTACCGGGAGCGTTCACTTGTAATGTAACTTTTCAAGATCCGATTTTGAGCATTATGTAGCAATACTGCCTCATTGAGTGACGAGCATTCGCCTGTAATGTAATTTTTTAAGCTTCGGTTTTGAGCACTACGTTACAATGCTGCCTCCTTGATTATATTATTATTATTATTATTTCCCTATATTTTTATAATTAATAGGCTTTTTTCTTTGTCACAGGCCGTTTTTAAACGTAGACCCGAAAGCAAAAAACTATGTCACGTACAGGTGCGTTCACGCCATTGCCGTCTAGGTCACTGAGCCTGCACCGCGACACGGTCATTACTAGTGGTACCGCATTGATGTTACTAATTGTATCACGGGTGCTCTCACTCATTTCTGTAATGCTCGAATTTGAACTGTTACATTACAGGCGAATGCTCTCAGTTTAGTAGCGCCCTTAAATGTGTTTTTTTTTTAATACTCACATATGTATAAAATTATGGGCACTCTGTAAACGACGTCCCCTGTAATACAGAATGTAGCATATATTTCACTGCTCCATTAAAGAGTGCAACACTATTCATTGCTTACTTTGTTTTGAAAACTTACTAGAAACCGGTACCGGCACAGGAACAATTCTGTCGCGGCCAGGAACCACTAAAAGCCTATTGACTGGATACGGCAATGGAATGAACTTCGGTGGTGAGGGAACTGGTACCGGAACTGGAGAAGGAATTGTAACGATACGTGGAGGAGACGGAACCGGGACAGGAACTGGAACATCTTTTTCGACGGGTACCGGATATGGTCGTCCACGGATGTATACTTTCTCGGGTGGCGAAGGTACCAATACCCGTACAGGCACCAATACGCGCGGACCAGGTACTGGCACTGGCACAGGGTACGGACGCACAGGGCCAGGAATCACAATCGGCGGCGGACCTGCAAGTCCACCATTTGTAACGTCACAAAATGTTCTTCAAATTAAATTTATCATGCAACGTTAAATCTGGCGTCGTACGATAAATTCTTTTGAATCCGACTCAAGAATAGAAGACCAAAGATCATCATGGCTGAAAACCCTGAAATAGTCGATTGACACATGCACCATGAAGAATAATAATCATTATATTTAATTTACGTATCAAGTACAGGTAGGAGAGGCAAGAAAGTAAGTCACTATAAGAAAAGATTAATGTTGACAAGGAACTGAATCTATATCTCAATACGTACAATCAGGCTGCGGCGGGACAATCGATGGGAACGGCTGCGGTACCGGCGGCCAATGGTCAGGCGGTCCAATGGGGACTGGACCGATCGGCCCTGGACCAATCGGAACTAGATTAATCGGGCCTGGGCCAATAACTGGACCAATCGGAACTGGACCAATCGGAACTGGACCAACCGGAACTGGACCAATCGGAACTGGACCAACCGGAACTGGACCAATCGGAACTGGACCAATAGGCACTGGACCAATCGGAACTGGACCAATAGGCACTGGACCAAACGGCACCGGGAGCGGAAGCGGCAGTGGTTGCAGCGGTGGTGGAACCGGGAGTATTCCTGAAAGACCGACCTCAGTCTTAGTTTTTATAATGGTCAAAACAAACATGTGTTTTATTGAAAGCGTTGCCATGTTTGTAAATTGATTTTCATTAAATTAACCCAGCGTTCTGTGATTGCATGTATAAATTGCAGACATTTTAAAATGTCCTATGCGATGTATATAACGAAGACCGACTACGAACTTAATCGATTATTTTTCGCATTAAATAAAATTACTTGTATTTTAATTTTTAGACATCATATTTCTGCCACAAGCAACGTAGGCAAGTTTAAGCAACGGTTTCTAATTCCAACAAATTATTGTATTTCCCATGAAAAACATCGTTCCTTACAGTACTTATACGAATATACTAAATAAATACAAAATAACTTAGATTATAATAGATGTAGTAAGTGAGTAGTTTAATTGAACTGCGGTATATCTTTCTGAATTTCAGCGGTCAGTAATCATATAAATAACTGTTTACAAATATGATAGGCCCGCGAAAAGATGCGTATTGCTTGAGAAAATACTAAATTTTCTTTTTTATGGAACATTAGCTCCCAAAAGTGGCACGAACACTTTGACAGACATAAAGCAATCAAAAGTTGACGTTACTTTTCTCTGTCCTAGTATCTGTAATATTAATATTAACTATGATCAGTATCTTTCGCGATTGCAGTGCACAACTGACACGGTGCGACTGAGAGCCTTCGCAATCTCTGCCGTCTAAACCGGTATCTTAACCATTAAAACACTCAATCGTATATTACAAGACAGTTTCGGCGAAATACCTGGTGGGCTATCTGGTATTACTTTTGGAGACAGGTCGAAGTAGTCTGGTAATACAGGCCTAGGTTCGAAGTCCGGTATGGAAATAGGCCCTGGAATAGACGGAATAGGCAAAGGACCAAATTCTAGTTCAGGAGCAGGGCCCGGTACAGGACCAAAAACAGGGATTGGTCCTGGGAATGGCGCATAGTCAGGTATTGATGGTGGCAAGGGACTAAAGTCCGGCAAGGGTGCTGGAAGCGGTTGATATTCTGGTATGAATGGCGGCTCAGGACCATAGTTTGGCACGATTCCTGGAAGAGGTTGATAGTCTGGTATTAGTTGCTATATGGGGCCACGCCTTAATTCAGACGGTTTCGGTAAGAAATTTAGTATAGAGTATTAAACTCGACGAATATGGTGTCACTGAGAGCGGCCCTCTATCAGGGATCGGCACTTCTTATTGGTTCTTTGTCAATGAGGGTATACACAAAGCGTTAGGTGTTTGAATTTATGTCATTGCTTTTATTTGCTAATAGGATATAAGCGATTGGGCGAACTTGCAATGAGGTTAGTTAAATAGATATTTTGTACCTGGAATGGGGTGATACTCTCCTGTAATAATGCGATAAATTTTCTGATGTCAGTAGTTTGGTATTTGAAGCGACAAAATTTAGTTTAAGATTTTTACATAAGTGAGGACAATGGAGCGTACCTGGTATCGGACCGTGTACAACACTGACTCCACCTAAAAGAAATTCAATACCTTATAAATATATATGCACCCAACGGGTACCGATTGCGAAGATTATGGTTTTACGCGCAAGTCGAACTTGATGCTATTTTTTAGTTCGAAGGCATGGTTATCGTTGTGTCAGGAGAACATGATTGAAAAGGAAAGCTTTGATTAGATACTTAGCTGAGGCTATATCTTATGTACTGAATTTACAGAAATTTCACTGTGGGAGTATTACCTGATGTCTGTCTTCTAAATTGATTAAAGATGATGTTGTCAATAGTATTATGTATCGGCCAAGGCACAAGAGTAATGCAAGCATTTGCACTCGAACATCACTAATTAAAGCTGCATAATTATATAGCATGTAAAAGATCGAGAAAAGTGCATAGCGAAGTCATCACGTCTTTGGGATGAACTGTGTCATTATCTCAGAAAGGGACCTTGTTGTCAATAATGGGTGTTTAACCCTTTCGTCGAAAAATGCACGTTTTAGTTTACGTAGTTGTAACATTCGTATCAGCAATGAAAGAAAGTTAATTATTCATCTACCTGGGGGCGGACCAATTACTGGTGTAACTACAAACAGAAATGCACATTATACACTTGCAACAGCGACATGTGATAGATCGGAAAAGACCAAATGCGTAAATTTTTCTCCGAATATTTAAATGTTATTTCATAATTATCACAGAACTGCAATGGGTTTCTTTTACAGTCACAGAAGTAGTAAAAGATGTTATATATGACACTGCAAATACACATAAAGTTCAGTGACTGTTTGGCAACACACATTTTACGTGTTAGTGTATCGCGCTGCACGTAGGTTGACGACGTACAGCCCTACATAGGGTGCCCCTGGACACAATGTTCGAAAGTCCGCTAGATAATAAATAAACAAATTCGCAGCCCCAACATTTCATGATCTTCTTAATCGACCACTACCGCATTTGCTAACCCTTGTTTGCAACTGACTCTTCACACGGCAATTGTGAGGGCAAAAAGCGAAACAAGGCTTTCGAACATGCAAATTCTAGGACCACATCACCGTGAACGTCAAAACTGTGAAAAGGCAAGTGACCGCGTCGCTTGCGTTTTCACACTCTGATGACATTTGCCATGACCAAACTTTGAGTGTGCACAAGCGTCTTACCCCACGGGCAGCGGTTGCAGGGTGCGCACTTGGAATATAGGTGGAAGACGCTGCCAAAGCACGCGCAGACCATGCACCCGTCTTGCAAGCTGCGAACGTAGTACATGTCGCCTTCTTGAGTGCATCGTTCATCTGTTCGCACGAAACAATATTTATACTCACAACATGCCGATGCGACAAGCAACGATTCCGTTGATATAATATTACTGCAATAAAAGGCGCAAAACATCCAAACCATAACTCCTATACGGTTTTACAAAGCATACATACAGTTACGCAACGAATGTACTTGCTTGTTGGTATCGCAACACCACAAATTGCGCTTACTGTATTGGATTGAGCGAGATTTCTTTCACAGTGGAACATATTTTAAATAATTCATATCATTGGTAGGTCTATGTAGAATTTCAATGACATAGCCATATTCATGTTTCCCCCATTTTTTTATGATTAAATTGTTCACCCAAATGTGAACACACTATGTAGAATAAAAAAGGCGTTGCCATTGACATCTATTTTACTGAGTATTGCTGGTTGTCATACGATCGACCTTTTAGGTAGACCCACTTAGTAGTCTTACTTAGAGATGACCAGCAGCTGTTCCTATATCTTAATGCAGTAGCATTGGTTCTTCCGTTATCGTCTTCGAGCGTGAAAGACCACCTGGTGGACGTGTTGAGCCATCCGGGATAAAACACCTTGGTAAACACTTCGGATACAGGGACGAAGTGGAGTGGCGAGAATGGACAATTTGCACCAGAAAATTTGATAAAATAAAATGAACAGTTAGTAATTACGTACCGTTGTCGTTGAGGTATTCAGAAGAAACTAATCCAGGTCCTAAGGAGGGCAGAAGCGACGGACCGAATCCAGTGCGTTCCTCCGCAGAACTCGCTGAACCTGTACACACCACGTACCTAATAATACAGCGTTCAAGAAAGTAAATGACACAACGTAAAGAAATTCACAAAATGAGATTGATCATATTCCAGTAGTATATCTTGTAGCTGTTAATATCAGACCAGGTAAGCAACTAACTACTTTTCTGAAGCCTACAAATATAAAAAAATATATATAAAACTAGTGGCTAAAAGATACTTCTATCATCCGGTATGGGTGAGGTGACGGGCACGGCGGAGTCGAGCTGCGCGTGCGCGGCCACCGCCGCCGCCAGCAGCAGTAAAGCACTACCTGCTGCAAGCCACATGATCCTGGGTTAGTGGCCATCGCGCCGCCTTATAAACCCGCCGCCGTGCTAACGCGTTGACGCCCGTAGCGAAGCGATCTTTTATTAAAAAGTATTAACCTGATAAGGATTTCATCTCTTTTCTAAATTCCTAAACTGGCCGTGACGCTCTCGTTTGATTACATTTACCGTTGCCAATCGGTGCGAGGTAAATTTATTAATTATGTTCGCAATAAGCGTATTGATATTTGTTAAAAGAAACGTGTCAGCTCACCGGGATACTCGCGAGCGGCGGGAGCAGTTCGTTGCTTGTCTCGTTTTGCACGTGGTTCGTGTACAAGTCGACTGTTGTACCCTCTGAATGGGTCTCATTCACCAGCACCCCACGATATTTTACGATCAACTGGTTCAATGTGTATATTTCTCAGCAGCATGCACTTGCAGACACCTGTTTCATTTTTAAAATAATTAACAGTTTAAAAAAGAGCCTTCAAAAGGTCACGAAACTCTTTGGCCTCTAGTTTCAGTTTCCAAATAGCGCCTTAAACACGTCAATAAAATTATGGTTCGTTTTAAGGAATGAGTATATGTCTATTATATTGCAACTATCATCAAGTGAAAACGTTTTCTTTACACGTTCCGTGACGAATTTACTTTTATTTATTGTAGCTTTGACATAAGATAGACTAAAATATGCAACAAAGACTATCTATAGTATAATATATAGAAAGAAAATCAGAAATAGCTATCGTATAGGACCTTATACGCTTGCATTAATTAATGGCAATTGTACAATTTAATAATAGTACATACTTTGGGCGTTTGTAGGTAGGTACCTACTCGTTTGAACATATTTAATTTAGCGTAAAAATTATTAAAATTTTTGTTATGAATTTGGATTTAAATTCAGTGACGACCGTTTTTAATGCTTTTTATGTAATCTTTTGATGTAATCTTTCCTGATGAAAAGTGTTGATAAGTTTCCATGGCAGTGTCACAGTGTAACAAGTCTAAATACAAACTCATTATGGGTCATTGTTAATTCAATAAAACTGAAAATGTATAAACCCGCAATATAAGACAGTGTAGTCCAAAAAGTTAATCAAGTCACCATCCGCGAGCTAACAACTTCGAAGCCCATTTAGGTAATGTGCTCAACAACAAATCGCTATAAGTAGTTATAAGGAGTTGGGTAATCTGCTAAGCCGTCCTGTCCAGGCTGTTGCGGTGGCGGCGTTATATAAAGGTTACCATATTATTGTAATGTCTTCAGATTTTAAATTCGAATTCAAATTCAGCACATGATGCAAGTCAACCAAGTGTTGTCTTAGTGTTTAACACTCCTCAGTCTCAGTTTGACACTCAGAGGATGCAGGAGTTCATAAGTTTGACCGTGAAACGAACGAAGCATCTCTACCCGCGTCAAAGAACATTTATGGCTGCTGTCAAGCACCTTCGAGTAAAAATGTCTGCAGTCTGCGAACGTGTCATGAATAAACCTACAAATTGAATGTGCGATAAATCCCAGGCCCTTGCAAGAGAAGTTCATTTTCTAACCAGGATGTTGCGAGAAGCCATTAAAATGAAGAAACATCCCAATTTGAACAAGGAAGATGTTCCATACCATACCCTGTACCATAGCAATACTACTTGTACTCGTAAATATGTTTTATTTTATTTCAAATTTCCTTTTGATTAAAATTTTTAGTTTATCTAAAATTCACATTGTAAAAGTACATATTTTACAAAGCGTACCTATCTATGTAGCGTCAATTGGAATGGTCTTTAGTAAATTAAAAATAAGGTATTTCATATAATAACTTTTGTAGCCATGATGAAGAATTGTGTGGTTTGACATTAACATTAGTCATCTGGTTGGTGGCTTTACCTTCTTAGTCCGCCGTGACCGCGGGACCTGTAAATTAAAATATGTATATATCACTTTATAACTGAGATCCCCACACTAACTAGTAAAAGAGTTGATGATCTTTAAAGAACTGAACAGATGTTCATCAAATCTGGCTAAGAACCATCCCGATCCTGGTCTCCATCAACCCTTTCGGGAGCCACGATGACATAGACAGGCATAAAGATAAATATCCTTCAAATGTATAACTTCCCTCTTTTCGCGTCGGGCGTAAAAAAGAATGTCACGTACATTTTAATACGCACACCTACATATATGTAGAAAGGACATTGTCTTGGACCTACCACTCGCGGATTTTTAGGGAGTAACCCATTGCCTCATCACTACCACGGATTCATCGCACATATTAACGCGGAATCGCCTTGAGCTGGACAGTAAAAGCTTTTATATTCATGTAATAAAAGCGAAAAGAGACATTGCGCGTTTCGTTTCCGCTCCGACGGCCGACGCGAAACGCACAACATCTTTTTCGCTTAATGCGATTCTGTGTCGATAAACGCGGTGAGTCCCTTAATCGCGAGTTGAGCACGTTGCCGGAGGGCAAATGAATTAACGTGCGCCGCTCTTAATTATGCGCATTAACGATTATTTATTACGTCGTCATCTCTAGGTATCTTAAAAAGGCTTCAGCAAAGTTGATCATTTTAAACTACCGATTGTTCGCATTCTGCGTTTGTTTGTGGGTAATATACACCCTATTTGCCTCCGCTGAACGATCGTGCGATATCGTAGCGCACACAGAGCGGACTTGTGCGAAGTTCATCTGCCGCTATACCGCATTTTACTAGAGTAGGTACGTAGTAGACTGTACCTATGTGTGCATGCCGGTTTAAATTTGAACTAAATGTGGAGCAAGTCATTTGCAAATGTTGCGCTGTTGTAGAACTGGTGACGCGAAAGTAATCGGCCAGCCATATTTATTTCTATTTAGGATATACTCATTCGCGGAAAACAACTTACACAGAGTGTTGAAGTTATTTCCGCGTTATACTCTGCACAGTTTTCTACACACATTGCAAAAGTTGTGGTATAAATTGTAGGCTCTCTGATATTAGTGCGCTGTTTCGTTTGTAAGTTCACGACACAATGCGCAACGCGTAGTCTCATGTGTCAGTGTTAGCGGGTTTTGTATTTACACAGGACAACATGATCTATTGATATATACCTACACACGTACGTATAACACTTCAAAAACACATGTACAATAATAAGACGCCGTTAAAAAAAATAAGCACACAAAGCTTTAGGAAAATATTAATTACGTGTTCTTTTAAGAGTTTAACATTATTTAAGGGATAACATTATTTAACCCTCAAAATAGAAATGTTCTATTATAAATGTGCACTTTTTAAAATAAATTGTATTTTTTATGTTTGATAATATACATTAATTGATCCATTTATGTTACTTGATCTCCGGGTAAATTATACGGGAACTACATTCAAGGTAACACTATCACTAAATTAACGTTTGGCATTCAAAAATAATATTTGATGCTCTTCTTTATTAGGAGTCTTTTCTTTTAAGGATTGATGACATTTATGACCGGTACATCTTTTGATATTGATCTCCTAATAAATCTTAGGTGCTTGGTTGCGCCCTCCATTCTGTAGGTTAGGTGGGTATACCAACCTATGGTATATGGATAAAAGAAGCCATTATTCCAGAAGACAATTTGCTTGCGTTTCCGATCACGTTTTCAGGTCAAATTATATTATTATTAATATAATATTAGTATACAAATATAACCAACATTTACTTAGTTTTCAAAATAAATATCTCAATTTAATTTTTGTCTCAATTTAATTCTCATTTGTCTTAGTTTTGAGGCCCAACATAAAACTATCAAAGTTAATTTATACAAATCAAACATTTTTTGCGTAGCTCAGAACAAATTAAAATGTTCATTGATTTCATTTATTTTATGTCTCAGCGAAAGAGGATCAATGATTTAAAAGATGGCCGTTTAGATTTTTTGGCTACGGCTTTGAAATTTAAAATGATCATTAAACACGTGCTGTTTAACGGAGTGTCAGGGCGCGGTGCGATGTTGCAAACGACCCGTCGCCTCAGAGTGGGTTTCTAAATGTGCCTCAATAAGTTTGAGAATCACTCATTTTTGTTAACTTTTCGGAGTTTTATACGATTTTTTTATTTTTCCAACACAAATCGGTGTTGCAGCTGCTGTAGGCTTATTCATGATTTATTAATATTAACTTTACTAAGATTATTTATTTTTTATTAACTTTACGATTTATTAACTTTATTAAGTTACTTCATTAAATTTGTACAACCCTATACGAGGTCGAACAATATTGGCTGCAACAAATGTAAGGACAAGGAAACTTCCGTTCATTAACGTTACAATTTGGTACTGCGGTCCATAATTTGTTATATTTACATATGGGTTCGATATCGCCAACGCCACCGACATAAAGGCTTCCACAGGAGGTGTCCGGTCGGGTCCGGGCGTACGGATATGCACATGCAAGGCAGCATGTCGATACCATTTGAATTATTATTTTTTGTTTCTGACTGATTTCTTACTAGGGGTTTCGTCTCTTAGTTCTGATCTCATACAATTTTGGGCTTCTTAGATACGACACTGAACAACATGTTTATTAAACTCGCTTTGTTTAGCCTTCAGGTTTTAATTTTATTGTAATAATTATTATATATAACAATTATTTAAAAACAGAATTGAATGAGAGCGAATAATAAATATTCTTCTCAAATAAGAAATGGAAACTTACTTAGGCGGTATAGTACGAAAAGGGCTTTGTGCTCTCTAACCAGCTCGGAGCAGACTCTGCTCCGAGAGCGACTTCTTTCATATTGATGTGCTAAGTAACGTTTTTCTTTACAAACGATGCGTTCATATTGATGAAAAATTGGATGAAAGTGTAAATAAAGGTAGGTGAGCGATAATCGCGGATGTCGTCTGTCGTAATCGTTGCATCACTAAAGTGAATATCGTAGATCATGCGGGTGCGCAGGTCACATAAGCGCGATAAGTCCTGATAATAATGTAGGTGATCGGTACAATAAGGAACGCGGCGGCGGCGGCGGCGGAGGAGGAGCGGCAGCGGACACGCCGCGGATACTGAAG